ATTAATAAAGTTTATTGACTTACTGTATAAAATAAATTTTACGTAATGGTGGGACGCGAATGCATTATTTAATTATTTCTCCATAATGGGAATAAAATTTTATTTATTTAAATACTATCAGATTAAATTTTGATACTTTATTGAAAAACATCTGAACATAAACAAAATGGCCTCATCAAATAAAAATGATTGCTTTAAAGAAGCTATCGAAAAAGGAGAAATTAATTCGTTTAAGTATAGTTCTTTTGGGGAGTTAAAATTTATTGGTGCAGGAGGATTTGGCGATGTATATAGTGCTTATTTAGAAAATATGAAGGAAATAGTAGCTTTGAAAAAATTCCGTGGTAACGAAGAATCTATTATAAGAGAAGTATAGATCATATTTATAATTTTATACCATATGATTCGTGATAACTATTGTTCCATTAATATTCAAACGTTATGTTCCAAATTATTATAAGGTTAAAAAAATCACTAAAGTCGATCATGAAAACATAATAAAACTTTATGGAGTCACCAAAGGTAGGATATTTTTTATAAATTTTATAGAGCATAATTTTTTCTAGTGATGGTACCATCATTAGTTATTATACTCTATAAAATTTGTTATAAAACTTTCAGAATAAAAAAAATATATTTATTCCCACTATGGAGAAAATAATTAAATAATGCATTCGCGTCCCTGGTGTATTTAATTATTCCTGCCACTACATAAAATTTATTTTATAAAATAAGTCAATAAACTTTATTAATACCTAAGTATATAAAAATTTAACGCGAATTAGATGCTGACACTCAAGAATATTGTATGGTTCTTCAATTCGTAAATAATGAAGATCTTCGGAGCTATTTATTTAAGCATTTTTCCGAATTGGATTGGCCAACTAAAATTAGAATGGCAAAAGAAATTTCTAGAGGAATTGAGTGCTTGCATAATGCGAATATTGTTCATCGTGACCTTGTAAGAATTTTGTGGCCTAATTTTTATTTACTTTTTATCATCTTTTATTACATATAAATTAACATCAAATAAAACAGCATGATAGGAACATATTAGTACATGATGGCAAAATGATAATT